CCTTTTGACCCCTCTCTCTCTATACCAGCCATACTAGATTCCTTATTGCTCATGCTTACCTCCTTTCAGAAGCTGGTACTTTTCTGTTTCCACTGCTTGCATGATTTTTTTTCCTCCTTCAAGTCTTTAATCCAATGCCATTTGATGTCTGCCTACCTTATCTAAAATTGCAGCCTATTCCACCCCACCCCATAAACATTTCTTCTTTTCTTTCCTGCATTACATACTCAGTTGATTTGTTTATGGCTTGTCTTTCTGAAGGTCCATAAGGGTTATTAACTTTTTTTCTGCACTAGTAACTGCTTTGTTCACACAACATCTAGAATGGTACCTGGTATATACCAGATGCTCAATAAATGGTGAATTTGCATAAGTTGGTGATAAGCCCAAATTTTCCTTACCCAATTTTAGACTTCCAGTTCCTTCCTTTCACAAGGTAAGGAGCATAAGACACATTTGAGGGGAATTGCAACATTTGAACAAATGCGTAAAAAGTTTTAGAAGTTGTCAGTTTTTCTCACTTTGGTTTTATGGCCTTAAAAATGTGATTTGTTGGAGTACTACGCAGCACTAAAAAACGACAAAATCATGGAATTTGGAGGGAAATGGATGGCATTAGAGCAGATTATGCTAAGTGAAGCTAGCCAATCCCTAAAAAACAAATGCCAAATGTCTTCTTTGATATAAGGAGAGCAACCAAGAACAGAGCAGGGAGGAAGAGCAGGAAGAAAAGATTAACATTAAACAGAGATATGAAGTGGGAGGGAAAGGGAGAGAAAAGGGAAATTGCATGGAAATGGAAGGAGACCCTCATTGTTATACAAAATTACATATAAGAGGTTGTGAGGGGAATGGGAAAAAAATAAGGAGAGAAATGAATTACGGTAGAGAGAGAAGATAGGAGAGGAGGGGAGGGGGGATAGTAGAGGATAGGAAAGGTAGCAGAATACAACAGTTACTATTATGGCATTATGTAAAAATGTGGATGTGTAACCGATGTGATTCTGCAATCTTTGTAATGTTTTGAATAACCAGTAAAAAAAATGTGATTTGTTGCCCAGTACCATCATCAGCATCACTTGAGGATTTATAATAAGCTTCTTAGAAGTGGAGATCTCTGCAGACCTCCTGGATCAGAATCTGCATTTTTATAAAGTCTCAAGTGATTTGTATGTCTGCCTGTTGGAGTATTTAGAGTTCATAGAGTTTTGAAAAATGCTGAGTGGCCTAGGTTATTTGATAGCTGCTGAATTAGTTTAATTCAGAAGACTAAAAGTTTTACTTTGCTTCTTAGTAATTCTATTACCATAGTTAATTTTATATGTTATTTGATATCTTTTATTTTTAAATTTATTTTACTCTTTTTATGTTTTTAAAGCTTATATTTCTTGTTCTTAGGAATTATGAAGTGCCACACTGATAGCTCAACTATAATAGCCTGCTTAGTGCACAGGTTGTATTGTACACAAAGGATTCTCTGTTTAAGGAATGAATGGCAGAGGATGGCAAAAGTGCTGCCTTCATTCTCTTGTAAACATGGCACACATCCCTTTATCTTTGAGTTATACTTGATCATAATCCATGCTCATGTCATACTTCAGATTTTCTAAAAAATGGCATATTAGGATAAATGAACCTATTCATTATTTTGGGGAGTCAACCACACAACGACCCATTCACTCATTTTTTTCATTTAACTACTATTTATTGAAAGTTTATATCCTATCTGGCTCTGTGTTATTTATTAGAAAATTATAAATACTTGCCTGACTTTCCAGATTTTTGTGAGGTTTGGTGGTGACATTATAGTCTCTTTGATACATTGTTAATATATAAATGAGTGGTTACTTTCTACTTAAATCCAAGATATACCCAATCTCTTAAAGATAATTCTTCTTATATGTTGAATGTTCTAGATTCCAAGTAGGATAAAGTTTCTTAATTTATGCCAACAACTAAGATTGTTAAGATTTAGACTGAGAACTCATCAAAGAGTTAGGCTAACAACTACAAAGATCTAGTCTAACAATCTCTCCCTGTGAGTCAATGAATATAATAAGAGGTTGTTACTAGAGTGATTTTTAAGATTATGTTTTGGGATTATTACTTTCTTTTAAGAGTACTTAATCTGATTTTATATTTATATGATTTTATTAGATTTTATCTAATCTGATAAAATTCATGTGTTAAACTCATACTGATTAGAACATGAGATCCTTCTTATATAAACAGAATTTTACAACCTTTCAAACTAAAAAAAAATGAAGTTGCAACTGTCTTGCAGTTTAGGCTACTAGGAAAAAAAATCATTAATTTAGAAGATATTTGTATAAGGCCCATTTTCAATATGAATCAGAGGGTTATAGAAAGAAAAGACTCATTTCCTTTATTATGTAAAAAAAGTACTCTTTGAATAAAACTATTCCATTTTACCCAATTTTCTCAAGTTTGGAGCTTTCCTTTTTTTTAGCATATTAAGTCTGAACCAAAATTTATTAATATGACTAGAGAAGTCTTAAGTGTGGGGAAATGCCACAAAAAGTATTTATTCTAATATGATAAACTTGATAATCATTCACAGACTTTTTCATTTGATGCATTAAGTTTAGATGAATTTACCTTAAAAGTTGACTTTCTATATCTTATGCAACTATAGCACAATAATACAAGAACTTAATTTTGAGTAAATCAATTCAAATGGTCTTATAATGCAACATATCTAAGAAATTTCTGGAATGCAGGATACCAAGCCTATTACCAGGTATTCTTTTTTTCCTCATGTCCTGAAAAGTGTCTGGAAATGTGCATTATTAATAAGGGAATCAGATTGTTTCTGATATAGACATCCTATGGAACAAAATACTCTTCTACTGCAGTCTCATCTGAACTTAGAGAAAATAATTTCTCCAAGAATATTTTTACAAATTTCATCAAATGCCTCAAAATGATAATACTACTTTTTTGTATCATTGCTAGCATCTATTGATATATATTTGTCCACTGCATAACAAAGACTGATTCTGAAATAATCTTTAAGTTAGGTACTATGCAATAAAGACTCCATCTATAAAGATCTCAGTATTTAATGGAACATTGATATTTTTATATCATCTAATACTAGGCTTAATGTGCAGTAGATTGTCAATTATTATTGAGAAGAGAAACAATTTCTGAGTCCTCCCCTCTGAAACTTCTACCTACTTCAATACCAGTATACATTAAGAAAACTATTGTTTCACTGAGATTCCTATTATTTTGTTTGTTTTTTTTGCTATGTATCTATCATTTGTCAATATATACATATATATCTATGAAAAGAATATATTTATATTCATTCATATATTTATATTCATTTATATTTTATATATTCTAAATTTATATATTATTCATATGTATTTATATATTATAAATATATATCAGGAATATATTTATACATTATAGATATATATAACATACAATATAAATATATTATACATTTGTATATTATTTATATTTTTATTAATTATAAATATATATGTATTTACAAATACATAAAATTTATATATTTGTATCTGCTATAGAGCTAACCAACTTTTCAAGTGTTTTAAAAAATATTTTCAAAAGTTTGAATTAACACAAGTGTTTCTTGAGTGACTTTTTTGTTTTTCAGATTTATTGTTTCTCGAGTAGGACTCTGTAGTGCCATCCCCTCCTCCACAAAAAAATCTTAATTAAGTTTCTCTAGAAATCTTCAGCATAATTGATTTTAAGACTATAAGCAAAAGAGTCTCTGCAAAAAAGTTCATTGTAGTTAAGCTTCCTATTTTCCTATTGCTCTATTTTACTTGGCCACTGGCCAAGAAGAAATCAGCACTCCAGGTGCTGAATGCCCCTTTACTTGTTTTCCCAAACATGTATCCAGTATAGTAGTTTGTAGAAATATGTAAACAAGGCCTCTGGCCTAGAGCTGGAGCTTCAGAGAGATGTCTACATTTCTAAGATAAGGGAAGTTACCAATTGGGCTCCATCCATGGTAACAGCTGGCAGGGGGAAGAAAGATAGGGGAGTTGTTCTTGAAGGTGTTAACTTGCCCAGAACAGTGAAAGAAAAAGTTGCTTTTATGTAAACTTTTGCAGACTGTGAACTTCTCATCTCCTCCCCTTATATGCTGGGTATAAAGTTCTGAAACTCCCTGAACTCAGGGTTTTGGGGATTGATTGACTGATTACAGCAAAAGCTGTGCCCTCTGAACCTGGCTGCAGCCAAATAAAACTGTTTCTTGCTATCTTTGGTGCCTTGCCTCGTCTGTCCCCACAACACCTCTACTTTCTAGTCAATTCATAGGAACATTTCAACCATAAAAAATATATTAGAAAGGACTTATCATTTTAAAGTCTTTATTTGTTTAGGTATTTTTTTTAAAAAAAAACTATTATAATCGCTAATCCGTGCATTGGTATATCATATTGTCCTTTAGAAAACTTATCATGAAGGGTCAACTTTAAACATTACCATTTTCTATAATTTTAAAGCATTTAGTCAACTTATGTTCTTTTTCCCTGTCAGTTCGATTATAATTTCTTTTTAAATATTTTTTAGTTGCCAATGGGTTTTTTACTTTATTTGTTTATTTATATGTGGTGCTGAAGATCAAACCAGGGCCTCACACATGCCAGGCAAGCATTCTACCACTGAGCCACAACCCCAGTCCCTCGATTATAATTTTTTTTTTGAAAAATAAAAAATAAGAGATGACTTTAGGTAAGATATAACTCCCTAGATTCTACTTGCCTTGTCTTCCTCATGCTTGGTACACTCTTTTCTCATGTCCACTATCCCTGACCAGAAGATTAGTGATAGTAAATGAAAAGAAAAAGGAAAATAAGAAGAGTCCATAATGATCAACAGCTTAACACTGTATTTTTATATAATAAAGGACATGATCACTGGTATCAAAACTTTATTTGACATTATGATTAGCAAGAAATAAACAAAGGACATTTAAGATTGGGGGTACTTACCATGAAACATGAAATAAGAGCCAGCAGGCCCAGGATGGAAGGTAAGCTTTTCATCCTTTACTGTTCCTGAAAGAAGGCCAGTGATTTTCCATGGTTAGTCAAATCTATTGATAGTATTTTTCTTAATTTAAAATAAAAATTTAGAATATATTCTAATATTAGTTATGTAATATAATAAAGAAATAGCACTACAGCCTTTTAAAGTTGTGCTTGTCACTTTGCAGAAAGGAAAAATGTATCACAGCAATATTGTTACATTTGTTATATCTTAAAATAAAATGATAGCCTTGTTCTATGAAAGGTAATTCCCAGACAATTGTTCAAAGTACATTTTGAAAATAAAAAATTAATTTTGAACAATCCCTGTTGCCTCTAGTGGTGACTATTTTGGAGTAAAATAACTGTGTATACTTTTGTTGTATTTACTTAAAGTTAGTCAAACTTACAGATTTCTGCCTTGATATTGTCCCTATCATAGGACTATTGTGAAAAATAACTTTTTAGTATAATAACTATATTATTATTATTTGAAAGAAAAAGAATTGTGCAATATGTGTTTTTCCTTTAACGTCAATCTACTTAAGTATTAGTGCACTGATATATATCTTTATTTCAATAAATTCTCCAAAGTCAATTATTATCAGTCAGTGTGTTGAGAAGATTTTATCTTCAGTTTGATTACAATTTCCAATAATATATCACAAGTACATGGCCACTGTGTTCAGTAAAACAAAGTTCATCTATCATCATTGCTGGTTGGTTGCCTTGGGGTTAGGTTAGTGTTGTGTCTATCATTTGTACTAGCATTCAAAATGAAAGAGTTACTGATTCTATAGTTGTGGTTACCCCTTAAAATTATTTTATCCAATATTCTATCTTAAAAGCAGCTCAAAAATACATAAGAAATCCAACTCAAATGAGAATAACAGAAATGTCTTTTTGTACATCTTTAAGACTCTTCTACTCATGATTGACTTTAGAGACCATCAAAATATATCAGCAAAAAATCAATAGATTTTGAAATTGGATGTAAATTGTACAATCAACATAAATGATGTTGATTTTTTTTCAGAAATTTAAAATATTTGGCAAACTTTACTGGTGATATTTTTTCTTAAAACACATCTGAGAGTATTCGAGAACATGACTATTTCTATTAAAAGTCATGAGACTGATATGCTTGAGAATATGAACAAAAGAGTTCCAAAGTCAAAATCCTTGCATCTATAGTTCTAAGTACTTACCTTAGTAGGAGAATCTTCTCTGAAACAATCAAACCGTTGATTAACCTTACTCTTGCCAAATACTCAGTTTAGGTAGCCACAGTTTGAAAATTCAAGAAGAAAGAGAACTTTCACCAGAAAAACCTCCCTTTTTAAATACTGCTGTTTGGATTCCTGTTGGAGTTAAGGGAAAGATTGAAAGAAGGTGAACTTCTGTATTGATAATCTTTACTGAAACAAAGAATAATAGTTGCAGTTGCCAATTTGGCAGCTTCACTGATGGAACTGTGATTCAATCACTGTTTAATAGACCTTGGGAATCATGTTGAATGCTACTGTACAATGGTTTCAAACTTGATTGAAAATTATAATTATATAGGGAGCTTTAAAAAAATCCCAATTCTCAGTCTTTTCCCCAGACTAATTTGTCAGAAGTTATGGGAAAAGAACTTTAAAAAACACCCCAAGAGTCACAAAGTAAAACTTTTGAGAACTGCTGTAAAATAGTATAGAATTTGGTTTCCACATTTCGAGACACATGTGTCAGAACTAACATGAATACTGTGAGAATTGGCTTATCTGAGCAGAAACTTACTTGGGAAGAAAGATTTTTGAAGAATAGAAAAATGAGGCAGTTGAGATAAATGCAGTGTCTCAATTTTGAAAATAACAGGAAATATCTACTTGTGGGAGATTAAGAAATAGGAAACAGCCTCTGATAGTTTCTTTTCTTTTTTTACTTTATAAATTTTTAAATTTGTTTGAATTAGTTGTACATGACACTAGAATGCATTTATGTACTTTATCATACATAAATGGGGTATAATGATAAATTTTTAATCTTAATTTAAGATTTCTTTTCTAGGTATGTATTTTACTAAAATCATGCTTTGAACTGTTTAAAATATTAACTGTATGGAAATTACTTAACAATTTTTCTTGTAGCTAATGAATAGCTGGACTATTTAAAAAGCTAATAAAAATGTCAGATTATTTTGGGTTCTACAAAAGATAATGATAACATCACATTTACAAAATAAGATAGTAATAGTTCTATGTTACAGAATTGCTCTGGTGTTCTGTTGAATTAAAACAGAAAAACCTGATCCATGTTAGTCATTGAAGTCTCTCAGTTGAAATTCCTTATTAAATTTTTAACATATTCTGGTATGACGAGTCTTTAGTAAGTAAAGGGTAAACTGTATTTATGTGTAATAAAAGATGACCAAAAACTTTTGGTGATGATAAGAAATTGAGTTGGAATTGATCTTAAACTACCAAGTTTTTTTGCCTTGTTGCTAATGACAACTAGTTGGCAACTAGAACTCACATACAATTGTTAGTTTGCTGATTATGTTTTGCACAATCCTGTAACTTTATGTGACCTAGAAGATCTTCTAATATTGCATATGTCCTGAATTGTTACTTTCTCTAAACATGCTCATTTTGTGAAAAAGAAACAACTTTTTTCCTTGCTTGGTGCTGTACATTGTTTTGATAACTTGATATTTTTTAGCCAAGTGTTTTAAAGTGATTTATATTTGTAATGGATCACCGGCTATGCAGAACTTAAGGATAAACATTGTCAAAACTGAAATAATTTCCTCAAGGATCATAGCCAACAAAAGATTAGAGTGTCGGAAGTTGGCGGAAGTATACTTCTTTTAAAAACAAAAACTGTTACTCAAAGAAGAATTTTAACTAAAACCTGTCTTTACAAGATCTTGACTGGGTCCTTTTTTCATACAGCACTTAAAGTAACCATTGTCTTTTGTTACAGGAAATTTAAATTGCTGATGTAGTCTTATCATTGTTAGTGAGTATGATTATTTAGCAGATATATATTTTAATAAATCTTTACCTAATAGTATTAAAGTCATTGATTTATGTTTGTTCCCCTGTTTTAGTAGTCACTTTTCTTTCTTTAGTCTTTCTTATGTATGTACAGGCTGTGTACATAATGTGTAAAATTTAAAATTGTTTGCTTATTGTTCAATTGATCCTTTTATATCATGAAGTGTGTCTTCTTATCTCTAGTAAGACCATCTCTAAATTTTTTCATCTACTACTAGTATAGTACACCAGCTTACTTTTGGATAGTGTTTGCATGGCATAATTTACTTTTCAATCATTCTACCTTTATATTTAAGAAGATTCTCTTTTGGGCAGTATATAATGTTTAAAAATTAGGTCTGATATCTTTGTTTTTATTAGAGAATGTGATGTTATTGCATTAAATATCAGGTACTGGTGTCTTAGTGGTTAGATTTATCACCTTACTGTTTGTTTTCTATGTCTTTCCCATTACTTTTTAAATTTTTTTAATTATTTTTCCTTCTTTAGGATTTATAAGGTAAGATTTATTCCTATTTTATTCTATTAATTTGTTAGCAATATATTCTTTTATTATTATTTCACTGATTATTATATAGACATGAAAACATGTATCTTTGATGTATCAAAATCTGTCTTGTTAGTATTTTTATCATTTTCAAGACAATGCAAGGCACTTATAACAATTAACTAAATTTAATCACTTTCAACTTTTATGCTATTATTGCAATAAATCCTAGTTCTACATGTATATTAAACTACACAAGATTTTTTCATATTTTTAAAAGTCATTATTTATTTAGATTTACCCACATAATTATCTTTTTCAGTTCTTTTCATTTTTTCCTACATTTTGTATTCTTTCTACCTGACTGTCTTCCTTTGGTATTTTTCTTATTGTTGGTCAACTCTCTCTCTCTCTCTCTCTTTTTTTTTTTGGTCTGAAACATTTTTATTTTGCGGGAATGTTTTTGCTGGGTATATAATTCTAGGTTTCCAGTTATTTATTTGGGGGGAGGTATCAGGAATGGAACTAAGGAGAACTCAACCCCTGAGCCACATCCTCAGCCCTATTTTGTATTTTATTTAGAGAGTGTCTCAGTGAGTTGCTTAGTGCCTCACTGTTGCTGAGGGTGGCTTTGAACTTGCAATCTTCCTGTCTCAGCCTTCCCAGCCATTGGGATTACAGGAATGTGCCATTATGCCCAGCTCCAGTTACTTTCTTTTAATACTTTAAAAATGTTATTTCATTTTCTGGCACAGAGCTTATTGTGACTTTTGGATTTTGGAGATAACATTCTCATATTTGAGTGAGCTACCTCTGATTTCTATTTCCTGAGTAACACATAAAGCTATAAGTTCTGAGAGGACTATTGAAAGAGGACATTCCACAACAAGGCCAGGTCACAGTACCAGCTGCTGTTTAGCTTGGGCCTCATGACTCAGCATATGCAATGATAATCAAAGTGCTTGTGGCAAACAGGGATACGGGGTGGATCCTGTGGCAAGCAATAGTGCAAAAAAAAAAAAAAAGCCTAAAAAACAAATCTATGAAAAATCAAAACTTCTTGGCTGATGCTGATATCTCTGAGTGTAGAAGATGGGTCCTTTTGGTCCAGATCTGGTCCAGTAAGAAGGAATACTAGAAAATTGTCCCTGACACATCCAAGATGACTAAATGAGACTGTTTCCACAAACGTTGGAAAAACACAAACTGATTTAACTTTGACCCAAGTTCTTTTCCTAATGGGCTGACTTAAACCCTCAGTCCTGAAGTATCTAAGTCCTCAGGGGTCCTACATTGTCTTGGTTGTTGCAGTTCCCCTTAATTTTTATTATTGGATATGGACATATTAAGTAGTACCACAGAGAATCCTTTGACTTTCTCAATCTATCAGCTCTTTCTCTGTCTTTTTCCTCTTTTTAATCAGCATAGAGTAAATGATGGAACATTAAAGTAATATTTTTCAAAAATATACTTGATAAGTATTAAATATTTTTGATTGTTGAATAACAGTAAGCGATACATTGAACAACAAGGCCCACTATGCATACCCATGAACATATTTATCAGAACAAGGGGTTATGCATTGTATTCTGTGTATTCCATTCCACTCATCTCTTTCCAATGAATTCTGTTTATTTCCATCAATTCCTTGACTATTTAATCTCATTTAATTGTATTTCATCAAAACTCTTTCTCATCCTGGAAAAAAAAATCTTATCCTGGAGAAAAAAAAAATCCCTGATGTAAGATACGAAATAACGCCTCTTCATAATCTCTTTCAGGGTGCAGAAAATAAAATAATTATCAATTATAATTATCCACCAAATACCAAGGAGCATTTTGAAAATAAAGTGAAGGCATTTTGTAATCTTTCTATCTCTCTCCCCATCATTTTTTGTGAATCTCGTAGTTCACTTCAAAGTAGGGTATAGTTTTCTTTGTTAGATAGAAAAGGTTGTAGGAACACACATATCCAAAACATATTTCAAAACAGCTCAATTTCTTATCCATGTAACATTTTATTGGCATCATAGTCTGTCAGGGTTAAGCTGGGGGAAACTTGCTTATACCCAGTCATCCTGAGCACAAGAATGGTAGCAGTTGTTATCTTAACATATGAATTTAAAGGTTTCCCTGGGGCTTGTCATTCCAATATCAGGAAGGGAAAAGATCTTGAAGGAACACATAAGAGGGTTTTATGGTTCACAGAAGTAACATATCACTTTTTGCTTCTACTCCATTGGCTGAAATTAAGCACATGGCTACATATAGTTGCAAAGGAGTTTAGGAAATGTAGTCCAGTTATGTGTCCACAAGAAGAAAATGGAGGAAGAAATGAATTTTCCTATGACATCTAGTGTTTTGTGATATCCTTTGGTAGTTAAATTCTCAATCTCCAAGAGATTTAAGATTTCTTCAAAATGAATTTTTTCTTTTCCAGAACTGGGGATTTGAGCCCAGGGGCACTGTGCCACTGAGCTACACCTCTTGCTCTATTTATTAATTCTTTTAAAAGTTTTGACACAGAGTCTCACTAAGTTGCCAAAGCTGTCCTCAAACTTGCTATAATGCTGTTTCATCCTCCTGAGTTGCTGGGACTACAGACTTGCACCAATGTGTCTGGCAAAAATAACTCTTCACAATAAAGTTTCTTTGATATATAATTGTGCAGGATTTTCTGGATATTTATAGATTTCTTAGATCCTTTATCTAATGATTCTTCAAGTGCAACTTGGGGTTTTTGGTTACATGGAAGATATTCTGAATCCCTATCCAGCTTGGTGTTATTGTATCACTATTGTTTATAATTGGTAGAGGTGAATGACATCATAGT